CTAATTAATCTCAACAGATAGTAAGAAGCCCTATGGACCTTTGCGAACGCTGAGTTCATCTGGCAAGGCCGGTCCAATTTATTGTTAAGTATGATCCTCCGAAATTTTTGGTCTCGCAGGCGGGGATTAACTCTTCATATGATGTTCGATAACGGAGAGTAGATTAGATTAGACTTCCTTAATTTACCAATGAATATCAATATCAATGTCATCTTCGGAGCAAAACAATGGATACAACCAAGTTCGTTGCTTTATGGAATCACTGAAACATTGCGTGTTTCAGCAAAAAGAATAAACAGACAAAATAAGAGAGAATCACACCTGGAAGCAACAAAAGAAACCCGCGAACCCAACCAACAAATTCGATCAATAAATGAACTTTTGTACAACAAAGATATAGCCGCAAAGAAATTAATAATGATAAATATGAAACGAGTTCTATCACACTGAACAAATTCCGATTGAAACTCCAAGGAATGTCTTGATGTGGTGGTAACTACGGTTCTACAATAAGGTGATTCTGGCAAATAGGTCGTATCAATGTAGTGCATGAGGCTTGTGACAGGCACTGTCAAAGCTCGCCATGGATGGGACAACTGGGATGCACTGCCAGAAAGATAAATTACACATATTCCTAAGATACTACGAAGATATCTGCCTACTCTAGAGAACTGTCTCAGCAATCTCTTGAAGCTACAAACTAGCTGGCTACGAAAAGTGACTCCAGATGCAAGACTATAGAGCGGTAGAATACATGCAAATAGAACCTTTCGAATATCACCATGCGGTATATGGAAGGTTCTTAGTCGCTTTATCTGTACTGAAGCTTGGCAACATCTAGATGTAACTGATTCAGCACATCCGTATCAGATTAAGTCAGGTAGTGACATGATCTAAATATCTGATAGAATGACAGATGATGGAGTGAAAAATATTTTGGAGCATGTTGCTTCACCTGAAGTCACTTTCCAAATTTACGCCCTACGCGTACTTTCTTCTAACAATCTGAAGGACCCCTAGCACAGGCTATGGCGCCATCGCATTATCGCTGTGTTAATCCAAATAACTGACACGAGGTGGTTATTATCACTACCGAAATCAGTATAGCACTTTCTTAGTAAACCCGCAACAGCGCATAAGCTTTAGTCCAGTCCAATTCTCATACGCGCCAGGTGCGGCTGTTTCAGACTATAGGGAAACTGTAGGTTTATGGCATGACCTCAAGCCGCTATCCCGTAGATTAGTGTGAACTGCAACCGCTGAAAAATCGCCATGCAACAGCAATACTGTAGGTCGTATTGCAAAAGCTCATATGACTAGAGAGTTCGACCGTAATCGGTCTCCGCTGATGATTTCATTTGAACAAGGTATGGTAGGTTAGCGCTCCCTCCGTCAGTACAATAAGACGATTAATCAACTGTGGTCTTAAAACAGCTTACTAGTAAACTTATGGTTTCACCTTTAACTGACGATAGTGAAAGACATCTTACGGAGTAGAATATGCTACAACCGTTGGAATGGGCCATCGATCAGAAGTTTTGACATGATCACACCGTCTGACTTTGCCATTCCCATTTTCAAGTAGCGCAGCTATTTGCTAACCATTTCTGCGCTAGAGCTCAGCTAAACATTGGCATAAATAGTGCATTTGCAGTTAATACAAAAAATTATGCCGTGCTTGAAAGTAAAATCAAAATTCGATGTATAATACCGAACTACTTATAACATAACTCGCTAAGCTGCACTATTACATTAAACATTAACATTACGTTTATGTAATAGCTATTCAACGCTTACTTTCGGTAAATCGATTTCTACCAGACTAGGTACAGTCTTGAAATACTTCAGAGCTTGAAGCAGTATCTGAATACGGGTGATAAACTTTATAACGAAAATTTAAGAAAAATAGTTACCGAATACGCAAACTTGCGATGCAACTTTTTTTGATCCCTGAAGGTCTCAACCAGCCTGTCCATGAATTCTTTAGTCACTTTATCATCCTTCAACGCCGGCCCGTGATAATCGTCTTCAATAACTACAGCAATAGCACACAAATTAGATCAAAGAATATTTCATATAATAAATAATAAGACAAACTTCATCTGAAGATCTGAAGTTTTTTGGTCGTGCATTCCTGATCATACTGAAAACTTAGAAATGTACGAAAAATGTTTATTTATACAAAACGCAAGTAAACAAGTTGGTGAATCGGGCGAATGACCAATACTGACATTTCGGATGCACACCTTTGGCTCCACGCATCACAGTATTCACCTGCAGACCACCGACCCAGCTGTGCTAATCAATCTGGATCACGCTGGAAAAGGCTCGTAAGAGACGACTTGAAACGTCGGAACTAGTCCATCACTTGACTGACAAATCTGTTCACTGGCATTGTGTATAAATAAACCGCTTCTGTAAATTCTTAAGTTTCCAGACAAACTTCATTATGACTTTCATCTACGTTAATTTTAGTCATATAAAGTGGAATATTTCGATTAATCGATGTCACTCATCATCTTCAGGTACAGTTGTTGTAAAATAAAATATACTCGATTGTTTGAAATATCCCATTTCAACGTGTAAACATCATCAAAGGTCGTGGTGATGCTTATTAAAGAACTGGACTTCATTTACAGTAAAAACAAGAGTGATACCGGATTGAATCGATAGCTCCCCAGAACATCGGGGTTCCATTTTGAACTTCATTTACGTCAAGAATCATCAGCAGCTGAATGAGCGCGAAGATTACGAGACAATTTCTACTGCAAGCTTACATTTTACTTTTACACTAAAGTCATGTTACTTACCATCGTTGAGTGATAGAACGAGTCAAAGTAAACGAAGAATTTCAAGCAATATGCACCGACAAACAAAATGCTGATTAAGGGGATCTCCGACAGTCACGGTGTCTCAAATTTCATTTTTCCTCAATTTCCAACAGTACAAAGGTGTGTAGTCCGCAACAAAATCTCTCAATTCACTTCGTGCCTCAAACCATTGGGTTTTAACAATTCCTCTATAGGAAGCCAAGAATTACAACTGTATGATCGGAGGCTCCCAGAGTAAATGAAAAGCTTGTTTGACGAATGACCTTCCGGATGACACAGGGATCGCTATATCATTCGGACTACAACGAGCAACGATAAAGCAGCAAAACGCAGTTCACCGTCAGTTTAACGAGATTACAGCAAACAGCACTTTACAACATGAGTCTGTTACACTCGTGCTGGATGTAATCTCTTCCTTCATTACACCCAGCAACTACTTTGCAAAATTATTCATTAACCTCAAACCCAACACAAATTATTTATCCCGCTGAAAGATATCGACTAGGTTTCTAACAGCAATAGATCATTAGGCAGTCAGAGAGACAAATTTACTTAAGTGAAACCTAAGGCGCAAGATAAGTTGCCAAAACCTGGATATAACAAATGAAAAAATAGAGTATAAAAGTGGCTCTCTATCAGGCAGGCTTGAGTCTCCCGGGGCGATCAAGGCGGTAAAAAAGGAAGTCATTTAAATCAGAGATGTTCGTATCATCCATGAGATTATGCCAAATTTCTTGTAATGCGAGTGTTTATGATTCAGAATTTATATCGATATGAAATATTCTGAACATATAATAGCTTGAGGCATCCAAAGCAGTAATAAAGATTTAGTTGGCGATAAGAGTTTTTGATAAACCGTCCAGTCGATCATCAGAGTCGCAATAATAGGAAATAAAAAGGAGCACTACCTTCTTCAACTTAACGTAATTACGATACCAAGCAGGATCGCAACGATGGTAATTTTCAACCATGTGCAGTTTTCTCATATCGCCCTCATTTACAACGCTTGTCTGCAGCGGGTCATTTAACTCCTGATCACTTTCTGACCACAAACGCTGTAATACGAAGAATATCTTCACCCTTCCCCTCCCTCTTACTGACAAACGCTTGATCAGCTTAATCACTTCACTCCATTATTTGACTCAGTAATTCGTGCATAAGACAAAGACTAACCCATTGAGTCCAAGTCGATCAACGTGGACGCTGTCTTCTCTGTTCGCTCCACTCGAATCGCCTTCTCGAATGCCAGTCGCTTGACAATCTTTCTGCATTCATTATACCTGCGCTTCGCATCGGGGTCTGATGGCCGAACTTTTACAACCTGCAATAAACACTTTAAAGCGTCATCTATTCACTCACACTACAATATCTCTATGGATTGCAGGAAGCATTTCAAGAACTAAACAGTGCATTTCTATACAAGGTATTCAACCAAATACAAGCAGACACAAACGGAAACAAAATTACACATTTATAATTTCATTCGCAAATGATTAGCAATAGGCCCATTCTGATGGGACTTTTCCTCACTGTAAATCTAAGAGCACTGCCAAGTGAATATACAAGTTTTATACAAGTATATAGTTGGTTATGGTTCTGGCTGTAGCGACGCTCTTCAAATAAATACAGTATATGAATCATAACGCTGAAATATATCCAAGCCAAATCATGCAGCCTTACTGCTGCTGGTTTCCGCAGGCACAGTGGCAAGTCATGAGGTGTCGCTGTTACAGTTCAGTCAGTTATGAATACCGTTTATGTTTTTGGACTACAGGTGGAGACGCGTCAGACGCACAGTGTCCCCAACGCTCCTGTTCCTGTGAAAACGTTTGACCTTCAGCAGAAGAGAACTAGAGCGTAATGCAGAGTCCTTCGATACATGCTCCAGGTTAATCTCCACCGTCATCGAGGTCATCTTCCTCAAGTAGAATGAGACAAGAGTAGATTATTCGCCTTCCCTTCTGGAGGCATTCGCAAGACGTGCTCAAACCATTGCAGCTGTGACTTTTCATTCTGAAGAAGCAGCGGCGGTACACCAGGACTATCTTAGATATTCAGTTTGGATCAAGTCGAGATGCGTGAGTCAAACGAATCGTCTCAGAAAGACCGTTTCGGTCAAGTTCAAGACAATCTTCATCCTGATGCTCAACAATGGCCGTGAGTGGTGGGTTACGACTCAAAAACTTCGATGGAGAGTACACGCGGCTGAAACGAGCTTCGTCAGGCGAATAGTTTGGATCCTGCGTTCTCTATACTGTCCAGATTAGTGATGTCCAAGAGAACCATAGAACACAGCCGCTGTCTCTTCAGACTGATATATCAGAGATGTGGTGGTTGGGACAGATACTACATGTTATGAATGTTGGTACTTGTTGTGCATCCGGCCGTCCTAAAAATCCGGGGACGCACCGTTAAAAATGACCTAGGACAAGTAAATTCGATACTTCTTCTACTGAAGGTGTCTGGCACAGGAACAAGATAGTTACAGACACTGTTGAAAAGTGCCGAGTGAGCGAGTGGAAAACAAAAGCCGTATCGAACCAAACCTCACACTAGCCTATA